GAAATAAAAGTTGAAAAAAATTATTTGAATAATTGTTTCGTTTACTCTCTAAATTTGAATTAGTAAAAATGTTTACTAATTTGAATTTCATAAGTACTTTTTGCTTATGAATTAGTAAAATTTTACTAATTATTAGTAACTTTTACTAACAATTAGTAAAACTTAAGAGACTCACTTGTTGCTTTAGAATTAGTTAAATTTTACTAATTGTTAGTAAAAGTTACTAATAATTAGTAAAACTTTACTGATTCATAAGCAAAAAGTGAGTCACTAATTCAAATTAGTAAACATTTTTACTAATTCAGATTTAGAGAGTAAAAAATGTCATAAAATGCTATAAATGTATTTTCACTAGTTTTTAAAAAATTTTAAATATGGCAACCAGGCCTGGCCCTGGTCGGGCACATAGAAATTTACTAACCCGGGGCCAGAACAGGAAATCGGATCGGGGCCAGGTCGGTAATCGGGATGAAAAGTGTCAATTTCTGCACGGGTACTCAGCCAGTACTGTAATTCGATTCTGTGTTTAATAACGGAATTTGTATTTTTAAACATAACTTAAAAAAAAAATTTAATTCTTTTTTAAAAATAAATATTCTTTTATTAAAAATTTTGAAAAATTTTAGTTAGATATTTGTTATTATAAATTTTGTACATAAATTATAATTCAATAACTTTAACTTTAATGTATGTTTAAACTTTTTTCAAATGCTGATTGAGAGACAATATGATACCAAGAAGTTAAATCTTGTTTATATGTCAGCGTGCGTATCATAGTGGTTAGAGCTTTAGTCTATAACTCCGTAGGTTCGATTCCTCCCATGAATAGGTTTTTATTTATTTTCTAGATTTGTGTTTTCCGAAGTTGAACCAGAATTTGAAAATCTGAATTTAAAGTGTAGGTACTAAATAGTTGCGTAGGTATACTTGCTTTTAATTTATGCAAATTACTTTGATTCATTAGCTTCCATTAGTTTTTCCATTAGTATTTTGGAATTACTATTTGATTAGGTATACAAAAAATGGCTAAACAAAAAAATGTTTTTAATAATATATCTATACATTTATGCATTATTAATAAGTTATGATTAAAAATTTTTGACTAAAAAAAGTGGGGTCTGTATTTTAATTTATTAAACTATATTTTATAACATTATTATTTAGTATTCATTTTGTACATACACTACCGACGGGCCAACCATGGGCCAGAGTTTAGCTAACCGAAACTTTAAGTCGTTTAAACTACGTTTCGAGTAGTTGTACTAACCTTTGTGCCCAAAGTTGTTCCGATGGTTGGTTGCACCTGCCAAAGTTGAGCAAACTTTGGTAACTGTAACTACGCATGCCAAAGTTCAAAATCTAACACCGAAAAAGTATGATTCTTTTGAATTTGTATTTCCACGATTTTGATTCTACCCTAACAGCAATAGATATTTCAGTACATCCTATGGATGTCCTAGGCATTTCCAGAAATTAGGATATTCCTAAGAAGTCGATAGGATATCCAAGCACATTCATGTGATGTTCTAGAAATATCCTAATTTACCTGGACAAATGCGGTTATGTCTAGGATATTCATAGTATTTCCTGCAAATCTAGAAGCTCTCAAGGTACATTCGTGTGATAAAATACCTTTACACTAAAAGGTAATTTATTTCCATTTATTATTTATATATTCACTATAATTAATATCATGTTAATCTGTAAGTCAACAAATATTTGATAAAAATGTAATCCTTAAAGACGTAATAACCTCTGCCGTTTAAAGATTCATGCGGACAGAGTGCATACATCATCGAAATATTTTTTATCAGAGAATTATGTAATATTTTTTATGTATTATTATTATTACTTATTATTATTGAATTCCATCAAACGTTCAAATTAACATCTTGTTTATATTAAAAACGAAAAATTTCCCACAAAAGCGAAATAAAGGTCAGAGAAAAATCAGGGATTTTTTTCTTAAATTTCCCTGAATACTAGAGGTATGCAAAAATCGAACCGAAAGAAAATCCGAATTGGAAAAGCCAATTCGAGGTCGAATTCATCTCGATTCGAATTCGAAGCGAACCAGGCAATGCAAAATACAAAGTTTTGAACTATATAATACTGCAACTTGAAATTCCAAGTTTCGAATTGCGAATTGACCGATTAAATTCGAATTAGATTCGATTTGAGCTAGGCAATTCGATATTTGAAATTTGGAGTTGTTCGGTCTGATTTCAAAGTGAATCGAGTCGAGTTGTGCCAATCTTAATTCGAAACTTTGAATTATTTGGTCTGATTTAAATCCTAATCAAGTCGAGTTGTGTCAACTCGCAATTCGAATTAGCTTTTACGATTCGAATTTTCTTTCGGTTCGAAATTCGCCTTGTCGATTCGAGTAATTTTCAGTTTGAGTCGATTAAACGAACACCTCTACTGGACTTCCAGAATTTTCCTTAAAAGTATTAGAATTCTCGTGTGGAAAAGAATTTTGTAATTTTTTCATATTCATGTTGATTTCAGACATCTTCGAGTGGTTCTGATTACTCTCCATCAAATAAAATTGAAATAAAAACATCAGATCCAAGTGAGAATTACTTAAAGGTATACATCTAAAAGTACGATATTAACAAAATTGTATCAGAAAATACATTTCAATTAATTTATTTATTTATTCAGGTATCTTCAAGTAGTTTCTCTGATGACTCAAACTGTTCAAATAAGAAAATAAAAAAAGTCAAGAAACTTCACAAATTGAAAGATCACGAATTGAAGGTATGTTTTTTAAACTAATTATACAGGAAAATAGTACTTTTTTCAAATTAAACGTATAACTAAATTTTTTTATAGGGTACATCAGACTCATCTTTAAATGCAGATGATATTGTAGAAAACCATGAACATAAACGTACAAAGTTCAGAAAGAAAAAATTATCAGATTTGACGTTATCCAATTTTAATCATATAGCTGTAGAAGAAAATATTTTATCTGAACAAAATAAAAAATCAGTAGACAGTAGAAAACATGTTACAGAAGGCTTATTGTTGGACACACCTACACATTCCGAAATCGATATTGAAAATATTTCAAGAAATAAATCTCTTCCTTCTGAAGAGGTAAATATCAGTTCTGTTTTATTTCCATACTTATTGTAAAAATGTACCTTTTCTTGAGATGTTTAATAAATTTTTTTTAGTGCACAAGTTCTGAAGAGGAAGATTCACGTGTGACATGGACTGAACGTTATAACGAATTGAAAAATATTACGAATTTACACTGTTTGACAAACCTGTCTGATGATGAGACAGAAAGTGCAACTTTCAGAAACATTGAGGATATAAATGCTGAGGTATTTACGATTTTCTTATTTTTAACATGAAGGACTACATGTTTTCATATATTAGTTAGATAGTAAGAGTGTTTTCTATATTTTCTGGAGTTTCCTTTAATTTAATTAATAAACGGAAAAATATAGAAAACACTCTTACCATCTAATAATATATTAGAAATTACCTTAAATAAGAAACAACCCTAACATCACTTAATTATTTTCATACATTTTAGAATGTTGTATCTGATCTCAAATATTTCATCAGTTTCATCTAGGTGGGTGAAAATTTCCCAACTTGGCCACCTAAAACTGACTTTTCAAATTTAAAATATTTTTTTTCATAATCTATTGCAGGAAGCCGTATTAAAAACATTCCTGAAATGCGTTTTTGAAAAAATTAATTTTTTAATTATTTATTAACAATTAAATATTTTGTTACCTTTCCACAAATTTTGCAATTACTCCGTTGCTTGTTAATGAAATTTAATAAAATTTGGTGAGTATATAGAAAAATTATTTCTCTTTGAAATGCCATAGAAATTTCAATTAACCTTTATTGTTTATGCAAAAAAAATTGTTTATTTAATAAACAAATGAATATTTAAACTATTTCTCATATGTTTAGGAAAAAATTTCAAAAACGACATAAATCTACACTTCCTCAAATTTAATATAGAAAAAAAAATTTTAGTACCTTTAAAAAATGAGTGAATTACGCGAATTTGAAAAGCGAAATGCAAGCGCTGGAGCAGTCACCACTGCCTCGCGCGGTGCGCTACTACGCGTCGAAGCCTATTCTGTGTTATGGAATGATACTAATTTATACTAACATAATTTATACTAATACTAATTTGGCTAATTAAAAATTTGGTTTAGTGAAAATTTAATTAAATAAGAATTTGGTTAAATAAAAATTAGGCTTAAATAAAAATTCTGCTATTGAAAAATGTGGTTCTACGTTAAATTAATTTTCTAAAATGAAACTTAGTACACATTAAGCGTCCAAATTAAAATCTTTTCAATGAAATAACAAATTCATAAAACTAAATTTGTTCTGATATTTATAAGAAATAAAAATTTTTTTTTTAAATTATAATTTAAATTATTATAAATTAATAATTCAAATTAATTAAAATAAAATAAAATTTGTTCTTATATTTATAAGAACAAACTTAATTTTATGAATTCTTTATATCATCGAAAAGATTTTAATTGGGACGCTCAATGTGTACTAAGTTTGAATTTTAGAAAATTAATTTAACGTAAAACAAAATTTTTTAATAGCAGAATTTTTATTTAACTGAATTTTTATATAACCGAATTTTTTTTAATACAATTTTTATTTAACCAAATTCTTCTTTAATTAAATTTTCGCTAAACCAAATTTTTATTTAGCCAAATTAGTATTAGTATTAATTATATTAGTATAAATTAGTATCACTAGAGAAAATTTTACATTGGAATGTAAAATTTTCTCTAGTGATACTAATTCTGTTACTTGCAAAATAATTCAATGAATATTCGTGTTTTGAAAAAATTCTCAGCAACCAGTTGTAATAAAAAGTTATATGATTGTTAAATAATAAAATAAAGGAAAAATGTGATATTCAAGAATTCTAGTCAATAATTAGATAATAAAGAATAGGCTTCGACGCGTAGTAGCGCACCGCGCGAGGCAGTGGTGACTGCTCCAGCGCTTGCACTTCGCTTTTCAAATTCGCGTAATTCTCTCATTTTTTAAAGGTACTAAAATTTTTTTTTTCTATATTAAAGTTAAGAAAGTGTAGATTTATGTCGTTTTTGAAATTTTTTCCTAAACATATGAGAAATAGTTTAAATATTCATTTGTTTATTAAATAAACAATTTTTTTTGCATAAACAATAAAGATTAATTGAAATTTCTATGGCATTTCAAAGAGACATAATTTTTCTATATACTCACCAAATTTTATTAAATTTCATTAACAAGCAACGGAGTCAGTTTCAGGTGGCCCAGTTGGGAAATTTTCACCCAGGTACTCATATTGAGGTAATATTACTTCAAAATAATGTCATACTAATGTATCTATTTTTCTGTAAGGTCTATGTTTATGCAGGTACATAGTTTTATGTAGTATCACTTTCATTGAAAAAATTTAAAAATTAATGCTTCATGAAAAGAAATTTCTAAAATTTTTAAATAAAAATAAAACTAAAAACTCTAGAATAATAAGTTGCAGGCAATTAAAGAACAAGATTCTCATACTGAAGCATGACCTCAGAGGCACTTTTAAAATAAGAATGGGAATTAATTATAAGAGTTCTTAACGTGGTGTAACACCATTACAGCAGAACTTCTACCGGTTATTTATGAATTTTTTTTAAAGTGAACAAAAATCGGTTTAAGGGGTTTGAATTTATTGAAGTTTATAGCTTATAAAAACAATTTGTTGGTGTACAAACGTTTAGTTGGAATTCAAAATTTCCATCTACTAAGCTCTTCATAAATCGATCTAGTAGCACCTGATATGTCAGTTTTTCTTTGTTACTGATGGTGATGCTCCATTTAGAAATTCGCTCTTACTTGATACCAGAATTTGATATTTTTTTTACATACAAACAATTCCATGAACTGGTTTATACGATTTAACCAAAAATAAAAAATCAATTTTTTCGGGTCAATGGTGTTTTACATAAATAAATCATACATAAATTGATGAACAAATCATTTAGTCGTCTTCTAAACTCCAATCATTTACACTACCGTCGAAAATTGTTGGTACGACTGACGTGCGAGGAGTAGAAATTTGGTGCTGACTTTAAAACAAGATATTTTAAGTTAGAAAAAAATTAGAGACTTGTAACTTAGATGGTTGGAAAGCTGATAAAATTCTGCTTCTGAATGTATATCAAAAAATTTTTTTTCTTTTTTTGGGTATTTATAACACCGAAAAGATTTCAAGAAAAAATTATGCAATTTTCTTATTTTCGTACTAATGTTTTTGACTTCCGGCACAATCTAGAATAATGTATGGAAAAATTTGATAATTTTACAACATAATCCTTAGGGTCTTAGCTTTAATTTGCATTTTTGAAACCTAAAAAATGTTTTGTGGTTCCTGAAATATGTTAAAAAAGGTCCGAGCATGTTTTCCTACAACTCAGCCGTCAATCATTACTTTTCGCCGCCTCGCAGATGGATTGTAAAAAACATGCTCGAACATTTTTTAACATATTTCAGGAACTGCAAAACCTTTTCTTGATTTTCAAAAAGGAAATTAAAGCTAAGAACTTGAAAGATTGTGTTAAATTTTGAAATGACAATTTTTTTACCAAAGAGCTGTTATTTGTTATTCAGGTAATTTTTGATGAGTTATTTATAATAAAATCATAGCGATCCTGATTAAAACTAATTTAAATAATATTTTTTCGAAAAGTAAAAATTTTAAAAAATTGTTTGTTTTCTCTCGTGTATTTTTACACGTTCCTTTTAATAAAATTACAGCGAATCTGTCTTTGTATGCACCATCTATAGAACCTTGTTTGTTTGGCTTAAAATCACTCCTTATCTTAAAATTTTCAAATACAGTTAAAAAAATACTTTTCGCCAAAATGAAAACTAATGCGAACCATCGCATTAAAAAGTATTCATTAAAAGTTCCAATGCGAAATTATTGAATAAAGGGATTCACAGCAAGTGACCCTACTGTTAATTTCCATATGAGATCCTGTATAAGATCGCTTATGGTTTATTATATGAGATTCTATACGAAATCTTATAAGGACATCTCGTAAGAAGAATCTCACCAGTGTCCATATAGGATTCCATATAGGATTCCATAAGGGGTCGAAATTTAAAAAATAATATTTGTGAATAACTCAAAAACGGTAGGAGATGCGCAAAGTCTAACAAAATTTTGAAATCATTTTATATAAAGCAAATATATTTTATGTTTAAAACCTAAAATATGTATCACATTCTTTTTACAAAATAACTACTTTATATTCCCATGTGGGATCCTATATAAGATCTCATATAGAATCCTATATGGACACTCATGAGAATTTTCTCCTGAGTATCCATATAGGATTCTCGAAAGATCCCATGTAGTATCTCATGTGGGAAACTATAAGTAATCTTATATGGGAATTTAAAATAGGGGATCATGAATGCAATTCAATACTTTTAAATCTGTCATTTTATGCAGGGTAATTATAATTTAGGAATAAGGAAATTGTCATCAAAATTTTAATTTAAAAAAAGATTTTTCAGCAAAGAATTTTACTCAAGGACAACTACATTTTTTGTGTTTTTAGGTTGGAAATTTAAATCTAAATGAAATTTTATTAGAAGACTCCGATTCAGAAGAGCAGACAAATGAAGATACTACATCGGACCAAAAGCAATTTGAAAATTTATACAATGTACTGAATAACAAAAAAATGTTCGAAATAATCGACGAACCTATTAAGGTTAGTACGGCTGAGTTGTTACTGATGCTAATCAAGTTTGCTTTACTAAGTGCGCTAAGTTTAAGTGCCGTTTGCAGTCTCTTTTTATTGATAAACAGTATATTTAGCACGCCAGTAATACCAAAGTCAAAATATTTTATTGAAAAATTGTTCAATCCTAAAAACACAACAACATTTCATGGTCTATGTTCGCTATGCGGTATTAGTATAGGCTCTTTTAGTCATTCAAATCCAAATCTACATTGCAATTTATGCAACAAAGATATTGATACTAAACATCCGTCATACAAAGATTTTTTTTGTAACTTTTGATCCAAGCTCCCAAATAATTGAATTACTAAAAACACATATTGATTATTATGATCAAGTGATGCATAATAAAAAAATTGGCAACTTTATTCATGATATTTATGACGGTAAATATTATCGAGAATTTCTAAAACATTTATCTCCAACAGATCGATATAATTACATTACAGTTGTATTCAATACAGATGGTGCTCCTCTGTTCGAGAGCTCATCCTACTCAATTTGGCCTATTTATATTATGTTAAACGAATTGCCTTTTTCTGTCCGTGGTTCACAATTACTCTTAGCAGGCTTATGGTTCGGAAAAAGTAAACCTGACATGAGTGTTTTTTTTACAACCTTTTGTAGATGATATGAATAGACTTTCCGAAACAGGAATTAAATGTAAATTAAATAATGTGGAGCGAATTATAAAAGTATTTTGCTTAGTCTCTTGCGTCGATTCAGTTGCACGAGCACCCATGCAAGGCCTTACTCAATTCAATGGCAAGTATGGGTGTAACTGGTGTTTACATCCTGGGGAATGGGTTGTCTCAGAAAAAAAGCCTGATTCTGGAAGTTTCAAATACCCTTTAATCGATTCAGTTGTTCAGAAAAGAAATGAAAATGATTCCTTCAACCACCTGTCTAAGGGAACAGAAAAGAATCCTTGTTTTGGCTTTAAAAAAACGTCTCCTTTAATAAATTTGAATAAATTTAAAATTATATATGGTTTTGTACCCGACTACATGCACATTATTGAAGGTTTGGGAAAACAATTCACAAATATATGGTTTGGAAGTAATAAGCAAGTTGCCAGTTTCATAGGAAAAATTGATATCGACAAAGTAAATAGTTTCTTACAATCTATTAAGGCCCCTCATCAAGTATGTCGCCTGACGCGATCTCTAACAGATAAAGCATTCTGGAAAGCCCGTGAATGGGAAAATTTTATACTTTATTATAGTCCTCTTATATTACACCGTTTCTTTGATAGACGTTACGTTGTCCACTGGTTGAAATTAGTAGAAGCCTTATATATTTTATTGCAGACTGAAATTACGATTGAAGAAATTAATCGGGCCGATACACTTTTACACGAATTTGTTGCTGGTATAGAAGTCTTAGGGTGCAGTCCCATGGAGCAGATTAGCATATTGGCAGATTAGACTTGACCAATCAGGTGATTGCAGGGAATTTCTGGTTTCTTTATATCGCGTTCCTAAACTCATCCGTTTTAGGCCACGGTAATGACGTGCCGTGTACACTCTAGTGTCTCGCTATTTCATGAGCTTTAAAATTTGTTAAACTGTTGTCAAACAAACGTTTCTCGATTCTCCGACAAAAGCAAAATGCCTAAAAATACTAAGAAAGAAGAAATGTCTGGGCCTGTAAGTATTTTAAGAAGTAACACGAAGTAGTAAGTAATAAATAAAGCTTAAACAATTATTATTTTAATTGAAGTAAATAAAAGTAATATATAAAAGTAATATAATATATTTTGAAGATTGATAAACAGTTATTTTTAAAAATAAATGTTTTTGTTATCATATAATATAAAACGAATAAATTTCCAGCTTATTAAATGCGGTTACTGTGGAGAAATTATAAATTTTACACGTGAAACTTTGGAAAATCTTCCCAAAAATCACGGTTGTTTTCAACATTTTGATCAAGATGAACACGGATTTAGTATAGATGAAAAAATGGTTGTAACATTAGGTAAAAATACATAGTTAATTTATTATTAATATTACAAGATCATCAGTTTAATAACATGTTATTTAGTGTTTTACAATATTTATGTATTTTTTAATATTTGTAGTCAATTTAAAAACACCTGAGTCTCCTGTACCGATGTCAGATATTGACCTGAGTGATGCTATTATATATGAAGTCCAAAAACGACCTGCACTTTATGATTTTAAAAACATCAATGTCAAAGAAAGGACTAAATTAAAAAAAAAAGATCTATGGCAACAAATTTCGTGCTGCATGAAAGGTATATAAAATTTTGAAAAAAATTGATTTTATAATTAATAACTAAGAAATCAAAAGTAATTATATGACTATATGCTAAAAATCTTTTACAGGAGTTTTGACGGCTGAACAAATTGAAACTAAGTGGAATTCGTTAAAAAAACAGTATCTGGAAGCAAGGAAGAATGAGAAACATCTGCCTAGCGGATCTGCTGCAAAGCGAAAGCTGAAGAAAGTCTTTCCTTTCATGAAGCAAATGGAATTTCTTAATGATATGCAGATTTTTGACAGGTAAGTTCACTTAATTGTTATTCACAATTTTATTATATAAATAAAATTAAATGTCTATTTTACATGCATATGTGCTGAAAGTTCAATGTTATTACGACTTTCTATTATTTTGCAATAATTCTTTAATCAAAACATTTTGTACAAATTGATTAATATATTTATACACATATATTTATATATAATTTTTGTTGCAGCACGATATCTTCTCTCAAGCCATCGGTCAATGTAGAAAGTGAAGAGAAATTGGATAACACTGCTGATGAGCCTGAAAATGGTATGTGAGAAAGAAGTTTTAACTTTCGTAATTAATATAGTAAATCTAATGTTATAGTAATTATGATTGTAATAAATACTTAATAATTAATACTTACATAATTTTTTTATATAGAAACCGATGATGATGTGTTCATGAAATTCCAAGAAACAGCAATGGATGTTATGACAAATATTCATCAGAAACCCGATGTTATAGACGGATTTGTAATGATTGTTAAAAATCAATTAAAAAAATTAACAAGCAACCAGCAATTAAATGCAGAAGCAGACTTATTGAACTGTACTAATGATTTAGTTAATGCTTTTAGTGATTGATGATTTATATTATAATAAAAGAAAATGAAATTATTATGAAAATAATAAAGATGTATATTAATTATATACGCATTACCGTAATTTATTTAATTCTCTTGACCTTTTTCTTGGATTTCAACATTCTACAATTATATTAATTAAAGCTATAATTGTATTGATTGTCTAAAAGTGTTAACACTTTTTTTAAATTAATGGAAAACTTTTTTCCTTTTTTTCATTCTTTGTAAAAAAACTCATATGTAGATATTTATTGACGAATTTTAATAACTTTATTTATTATTATTATATTATTTATTATTTAAACTTTTTCCGTCATTTATTCTTTGTAAAAACTTCATATGGGTATTTATTGACGAATTTTATTGAATATTTATTATTTTATTTATTTTTGTAATATGCTAATCTGCTGAATTTCAGACCCCCATGGAGCAGAATAGCATAATAGCCGATTAAGAAGGAACAAATTGGATAATGTGTTTAAAAAGACAAACAGCTGGCCACTATGGAAAGTTAATTTTCATTGGTCCATTTTCTATTCTGCTTTTTCAATTATGCTCCATGTGACATCCGGGTATGGAAATCAGCATAATAGCAGATTAGAAGAAAAAAGGGAAATTTATGTTTATATTTCAATTTAATTCTTTAATGATACTTGTAAATAACCTAAAACTTAAACATTGTTGAATAATTATTATCAAATATAAATATATATTTTTTCTTTTTTAAATCGTGCTCTTTCAACTTATTAAGGTGCCTCATAAACGAGACAACGACTGCCATAAAAACACATGATATAGAAAAAGACACACATATTTCTATCCTTTTTTATCATAGGTATTGCTGTGACAACTGTTGTCCATTGAGAGTCCAATATCTATATTACTTTATGTTTATGATTAATATTTACAACAAAAACTAAAGTGGAGAATTATTGTTTTCAAACAAACGGACACATTTAATTCTTTTTTCACACCAGTAATTTTTACGATGCCTGAATAACATTAATATAAAAAATACTTCACATCTAAATTAAAGGTAATTACCATGTTAATAACATATAACAATTAGAAATAGTCATATATTCTACATGTTAATAAATATCCTTAATATATTAGAAGATTATTGTAAAATCTTATAATATTATGTAATAATGCTTTTGTATTTCTTATTTAAATGGTTAAATAGATTCTTAAAATATATTTAGCTCTTTGAACATAATTAAAGGTTATGATGACAAACTCCTAGTATTTGTATATGAAATACAAGAATCAAAAAATAATTTTTATAATTTAATTAATACAAATTAAAGTCAAAAGTTATTTCAATTTTTTATTTTCATTTAAGGTTCATTTCTATAATTGCTTTGTCGACTATTGGTTTGAAGCACTTTTTTTAAAAATATTTTTTTAAAAATAAATAGTTCAATTTTAATTGATTTACAAACTACCAATTTGAAGGTTAGAACGTCCTCTACGCAACTAAAAAAGAAAATTAAAAAAACATCTATTTAATTACAAGTTATTAATTTTTTAATAATTATTCAAAAAATTGTTGTCGACTATTGGTAGTTTACCTTATAGGAAATATTTCAAAAATAAAAACATTTTGTAACCCTGCTGAAAAAAATTATAGGATACGTTAAGGAATAAAAAACATTCAAATCATGAATAACAAAATTAAAAATAAAATTTTATAAGCGATATTCATTTACATACTTATATTTTTTATTTAGTTTGCAGTTTATTCAACCAATTATGGATCTTCAAAACCAATTGCAAACCATCCAATTTTTGATTATGGAGTATAATCGAACTTCTATGTTGCCGTTCGCCAGAGAGTCAGTGCTTCGAAAAATAAGAAATCTTTGGGAATTGTACATTCGTTGTAAACGTGCAACAAGGTTGAGGAATTTTATTCCATCAGTTAGACGATTTTGGGTGCGACCCATTTTTAGTGCTGAGAGAAGATATCAACAAGGAGACAGTGATAATTTGCTTAAAGAATTACGAGAAGATGAGGACCATGAAAAGTATTTCACATACCTTCGTGTTCTACCCAATATCTTTGAACAACTACATGAACTTGTTCAACCTATTATAGAAAAGCAACAAGTGGTTCGTGATCCCATCTGTTCTAGAACTCGATTGGAAATAACACTTCGATATTTGTGTACCGGAGATTCAATGGTGTCTCTTTCATTTGCATTCAGAGTGGCACACAATACCATTTCACTTATAGTACGTGAAACATGTCAAGCAATATATGACTGTTTAAAAGATGATTATTTTCTTCAACCATCTGAAGAAAATTGGAAGAAAATCAGTGACGATTTTAGCAGTTTGTGGAATTTTGATAATTGCTTGGGAGCGATTGACGGCAAGCAGGTTGAAATACAAGTAAGTGCGGTTTTTATAAATAAATAAATCCGTAATTTATATATTACTGTAGACACATAGTAATATATAATATATGGTACAGTATTGATCAGTTATAGTTTCACTGAGCTTGTTTTGCATAATACACAAACAATTTTTTGTACACGAAAAAAAGGGACAAATATTTTTTTACCAAGGGCGGCGGAGATATTGTGGAATGTGTGGAGTACTCATTCACACTCTGGATTTTGTTTTTATTTTTATTTCTTAAGAGAAATGTTTGCAATAATACAAAAATGAGAAAAATGCCTATCGATAGGCATTTTTCTGATTTCCAAAAAATGTTTTTTTTTAAAATTAGAGTTGTGCAAAAATCCCGAAACCCGACCCGAGTTTTCGGGATTTTTGCACATCTCTACTTAAAATAATTTAATTTTAAAAAAAATGTCTTTTAGTAGTAGGGCTGTACCAGTTCTAAAACACAGGTAATGCAGGTGTCTACATTACCGACATATGGTAACTCTACTTTACCCTTGGCTGATGTTACCGGCCGTTGGCGCGAGATGGCGCTGTTGCTCGCGGAAATATTTGAAATTTAACCCTTTTGGTTAGGTTGATGTTACCGAACGTTGCCGCGAGATGGCGCTGTTGTTCGCGGGAATTTTTGAAATGTTTAACCCTTTTGGTCACCTCCCTTACCACCCACTTTCAACCCTCTTGGTCACCCACCACCCCCTTATTTGCATATGACTTTTTTTTAAAATTTAACCCTTTTGGTCGCCTACCCACCCCCTTATTATACATATATGTCTTCTCTATGTATAAATATACATATACGGTCCCAAAAATTTAAAAATCATAATTAGAACCTCGAGGAACAAAGGGTTCGCGAGATACCGCGCGGGACTGTGGGTGGTTGGGAGTGGGTGGCTGTGGATGGCTCAAAAGTGAAAGGTGCGCGGCAGATGTGCGCGTACGGTCACCGGGGCCCGTTAGTAGTCCATGCGTCAAGTGGGGGTGGAGTTCAGTGGTGGGATGTTGTGTATGGTGGGGACTACATGTTTGCGCTGTTGCTCGCGGAAATTTTTAAAATTTACCCCTTCTGGTCACCTCCCTTACCACCCACTTTCCACCCTATGAGCTACCCACCACCCTCTAATTGGCTCTGTTGCTCGCAGAAATTTTTAACCCGTTTGATCACCTCCCTTACCACCCACTTTCCACCCTCTTGGTCACCCACCACCCCTCTAATTTGCATATATATTTCTTTAACATTAATACCCACTTTCCACCCTCTTGGCCAGCCACCACCTCCTAATTTGCATATGTCTTCCCTATGTATAAACATATACGGCCCCAAAAATTCAAAAATCATAATTAGAACTTGAGGAATAAAGGGTTCGCGAGATACCACGCGGGACTCAAAAGTGAAAGGTGCGCGACAGATATGCGCTTACGGTCACCGGGCCCATTGGCAATTTCTTATTACTTATCTACACTGCTCGCGGGAATTTTAAAATTTCTTTTATCAACCGTTGAGATTATCAAGGAAGGATAAGTTTCTACACTACCATAGTTTGATGTTACTAACCTATACTAAGAGAGGGCACCACTACTGGTGGGAATTTTTGAATTTAACCCTTCTCTTCATAGAATATTATATTTAAATATATTTAATTTATATATAACTATTTTATATATGAATATTTAAAAATCTTAAGTTTTTAAAATAAATATTTTCCTTAACTTAACATAGTTAGAAATATTTTTTTTTCTCCAAATTCTTATTTCTTGACATCTGTAACATCTTGCATCAAGGTTGTTGCATACCTACCTATAACCTGTCATAAAAAATTTCTAGCTACATTCCACATTTTTTAAAATTTGCACACTTTTTTCCACAACTTTTCCTCACTTTTTTTTACCCCCCCCCCCCTCATTTTTTTACACCTTAAAGAAAGGCATTACTTTACATGCTTGTAAAGTAGGCTTACAAGTATGTACGCTGACAACATCGAGCGTTATGGCTTTATTTTTGTAGAACTTTGACTTTTGCTCGCTATTGGCATTTAAATTTGTATACAAAACTAATTATATAGAAATTATTACATATTTTATGAATTTAATAAATATTTTTTATTATAAATATAAACATTAATTATAGCTTGTTATTCACTTAATAAAAAGCATTTTCTCTAAATTGGTGTCGCACAAAGTATTGTGTGCAATACATATGAAAGAACATTTTCCGACTTCGTGCAAATTTTACACTTGTCTGAAAACATCTTCTTCCGGTAAGGTAAAAGTACTCATTATGGGACAATTTATAAAATTTCACCTACTATGGGGCAAACTTGGAAAACATTAATTTGAGACCTGAACATTAAAAAAAAGTAAACCGAAAAATATTTTCCTGAATAAAACACATATTTTATTTCACAGAAATAAAATAATAAATGATCTAAATATTAATTGAAATTTTTAAAAAATTAGTTTTTTGCGTAATGTCAAAAAATGGAAAACATCGTTCATGATTTCAACAAAATTTCAAAAACCCTATGACTTATTATTGATTATACTACAAAAGTAAGACTATAATGTGTTATATATAAGTGATCAAACAAT